TGGGCAATATCCGGGCTCTGTTCGGCAGTCTTGGAGCCTCTTGGTGGCCTCGTGGGCCGTCTTGGGTTATCTTGAAGGCATCGTGGGCCGTCTTAGGGTGTCAGAAGCCCGAGCAGGCGATAATGCCAGAACCCTTCAAGCATTGAAAGACGATTCGTGGGTTTTGCTGACCGATGCTCTCCTGGAGGGCCTCTTGGAGTCCTTTTGTGACGCATTGGGGCCCCTGGAGCAGTCCAGAGGCAATCTTGGGCGGTCTTGGGGTCATCCTAGGTCATCCTGAGGCAATCCTGAGTCCATTTCGGGCCGTCGTGAGGCCATGTTTGGGCCATCCTGGGGACGTCGGCACGCCCTCAGCTCGGAGATTCGGGCAGCCGATGGATCTTCCCCAGATCTTCCCCCAGATCTTCCTCCATATCTTCTTTCAGATCATCCCCCGGACCTCGCAATGGACCTTCCCCCAGATCTTCCAGATTGTCCTTCGGATCTTCCTCCAGATCTTCCACCTGAGGCGGGCTCTCGCAAGAGGTTAAGGAACCCAGAGTTCTTACTCGAAAATGTCTTAGTAGTTTGGAGTGTATTTCTGTATCCTCGCCTCCTTTCCCTTCTCCAGCTCTGACTGGCCCCCTCTCCTCCACGTCGTACCTCTTCCTTTATACACCAACCTCATCCCCGTCCTCATCTGTCGCGCACTGTTTGTTCCGACGCACGGTCATCCGTCTTGGGGAGGGCGCCGAGGCCACCAGGGCAAACTCCGCCTTGGGCGCGGCGGGTTTGCCGCGGTGTTGCCTCCGTCTGCTGGGGCGCGGGGCGCAGGGTTTGCCGTGGGTTTGCCGTGGGTTTGCCGTGGTGTCGGCTTCGTCCACTCGGGCGCGTTCAGAACAAACGGCGCGGCGACATCTGCTTCCTCGTCCTTCCCGACGTTCGTGCCGCACACTGTTGCCCAGTTGCCGGAGTCGTGTTGCCGCCACGCCCTTGTAGGACCGGGGCTTCTGACGACCTTCGGCGCGATCTGTCGAGGGAGGAAGAAGGAGGGCCAGGAGGAGGGATGACCCTACGGAGTGATTCTAATCGTGCCAGCGGAGGCGAAGAGGGGGGAAGAGCAGAAGCAGGTGGAAGAGGAAGAGGAGGGAGGAGGAGGATGGAGGACTCGGAGAGGAGGACGCCGAGGACTCGGAGAAGGAGGGACGAGGGGAAGTTGAGCGAGGATGAGGGGGTCGAGGAAGAGGAAGCGTAGGAGGAATGAGGAGGTGGAGGACGTTGAGCAGAGTAATGGAGGAGGAGGAGGAGGAGGAAAAGGAGGGGGACCAGGAGGAGGGAGGGAAGAGAAGATTTCGACGTCATGTCTTCATGTTTTCTCAGGGCGTGGGCCCTGGATGTCTCGATCTTTCCATCCTCCACGTTGTCTTCCTCCTCCTGCGCTACAATGTTCCAACCTACTTTTTGCCTCGACTGTCAGAAATAGTTTCGAGCACCAAGAAAGTAACGAATCTGGAGGGTTTTCACGTGTCGGGCCCTGGGAGGCGATACTCGCTCGACCCTGTTTGGACATTTTTCTGGTGCTCGAAGTTATTTCTGGGATGTGGTCCTTAAGTGCGATGGGGGCAACATAACTCCTGTGGTGCTGCTCAGTCTTGTTTTCACATGTCCGTTCGGCTCGGGGAGGGCCGGTCACGTCGCGTGGACTGGTTTTGCAAGGGCCGCGTCTTGGTGGGCCAGCTTTTCGCCACGGGTGCTTTTCATGGCCCTGGCCCTGAAGGTCCCCAGAGGCCCGACACTGGAAGCAAAACCGCGCCAGTTGTCGTTTCGTTTTGGGACGCACTGAGGTATTGGGCCAGCGATTTCTCTGGGCAGACCTTCCATCGGTGGCGCGTCTTTCAGCGCTCTTGTCGCGAGACCGTACGAGTGGGAGGAGAGAGAGGGGCGAGGAGGAGGGGAGGAGGAGGCGGAGCAAGACCTGTGACTTTGACCTACCTCATCTCTTGTCTTCCCTCATCCGCCCTCCTCCTATGAGGAGGAAGGCATTTCGACTCAGACTCTGGCCACCTACCTCCTCATCCGATGCCCCGGCCGTGCATTCGGGACTGGTTGCAGAGGACGCCCCAGAGGGCGCAAGTCTCGTCCGAAGGCAACCCTTGCCCCATGCACAACCAGGTTCTACGAGACGTGATGCTGCAGGCACACCACATAAGAAACAGGTCTACCATCGGGTACCGCGAGATAATGTCTTACAGTGGGGGCTCATGCCAAGAAGAACCCTACTTGCCTACTGGGTGCCCTGTGTTTCTTGGGTTTCGAAGGTTTTGCTGTGGAAGGCGTGACGCTCCCACACCCACCAAAAACCAGTGGGCGTCCTGGGGTCTCAGGGTCGGGTTGCTTGTGGAAGGCTTCTTCTGGTCGGGCCCCTGGACTCCTCACCGCAGGACTTCTGTGTTTTCGCACGCGCCTGCCGGAGAGTCCATGCGGTCAAGATAGAAAGGCCACTCTCGGGGGAGCGTAAGACCCGGGTTTGCCAGGACTCGGGTTCGCCATCGTTTTTTGACGACCGCGACTCGGATTTTGACGAGGAGGAGTTTCGTGGGATGTCTGCAGCGGGAGGCCTCGTCAAAATGCAGGCTCCGCCTCGTCATTCTTTTGACGACCTCGTCGGGGATTTCCGAGTCCCCTGTACGGTAGGTCCGTGTCGTGTCGACCGGCAGCGACCCCGCCAGCGGCGTTCAACGTTGAACGCCGCGGGCGACCCAGAATCGTTCGATGTGGAACGATTTGGACGTTTCGGAAATTGCCGATCGTTCAAGGTTGAACGATACCCGCGGCGTCAGAAACCAATGCCGAAGTCGGCACAACGCGAACCTGTCGTACCCAGGTCTTACGTCCCCCTGAAAGATAGAAAGGCCACTCGGAGCTCCGGCGGGGCTCCGGCGGGGCCCCGGTCTTCGGGCCGCCCTCCTCGGAGCCGGGCCGGGAGCCCCTGGCGTGGCCGAGGCTGGCCGTGGCCGGCAGCGCCCCCCCCCCGCGTGGCGCACTCGGCGCTCCTGGCTCGTAGCCTTAGGTCGGGCATGCCCCTCTGCAGGAGGATTTGTCAAACACAGTTTTTTAACACATACACACATATATATATGTATATATATGTGTATATATATATGTATATATATATATACATATGTATATATATATATACACATTCATGGGACGATGTTTTGTCTATCGTTGAGCATTTTTGGGGGGTTCTTTCCTTTCCTCCAAAGTCCGCATGTAGGAGGACCTGCCTGACCTAATCGTAGCCACGACGACTGCAGGTGGGAATCGAGGCCAGCCCTTGACTTTGCAGGGCTGGCCGCTGGTCGGACCCTGCTGTGCCCTCCTCCCGCGTCGGGCGTGGCGTCGGACGACTGGCCGGGCCGTGTCTGGCGGCCCGCCCCCGTGCTCGTCGGCGTGGGCCGAGGCGACCTTCCAGCAGATCGAGAAGGAGTGCTCGGCGTTCCTGAACAAGATCGCCGAGCTGGAGCAGGAGGCGAGGGGACGGGGTGTGCGTGCGGGGGGGGTATGGGGGACGGCGCGGGCGATGCCGAGCCGTCGCCCAGGGGATTGGGAGGGAGGGGGGGGATGCGGGAAGGGCGAAGAGAGAAGCGTGCTGAGGGGGGAGGGAGGCGTCAGAAGACGAGAGGACGCCATTCGAGGGAAGGCCAGAGGGGTAAGCGGGGGGAAGGAAACGAGGCGCGAGAGAAGGGGGAGGAGGGGGCAGGGAGGAGGGCGCGAAGGAAGGTGAAAGGAGAAGAGGTAGAGGGGAGGAGCCGTGAACAAGGAGAGATGACGGTGAAGGGAAGTGAGGAGGATGGAGGAGGAAGTGGGAGGAAGACTGAGGACGAACGAGGAGCTGAAAGAGAAAGGGGCGGGCATGATTGTGATGATGATGATGATGATGATGATGATGATGATGAGATGATGAGGATGATGGCGATGATGATGCAGATGATGATGAGGATGGTGATGATGCTGATGATGGTGATGATGCTGCTGCTGATGGGGTGGAAGGGTGATACTGTTTTACTGAGTTGAGGATTGTTGATGATGGCGAGGAGAAGGCGGAGAGGAGAAGGAGGGAGCATGAGGGAGCCGATGATGATGGATGAGGACGAGGGAAGAGGAGGACGCTGGAAGCTCGATTGACTTGCCCCAAACAGGCAGGCCCGAGAAGAAACCAGCCATGAGGTGACACGCACGAGTAAGCAGCATCTGCATCATCATTTCCATCAACAGCACATTCGACAAACTCAGCATCCTCATACTTACCGTGCTGCTTGCAATGCAAAGCCGCAGGCACACATCTACATTCATGGAACGGTATGAGCCTAATCCGTATGTGAAGACTGTTAACGGTCGGGGACGCGCCAGAAGGTTCTCACAGCCGTTAAATCTCTTAATTCGTGATTGTCGGAGGGTAGCGGGAACTGCAGGTCCTATTGCTCTGGGGGTCTAGCCCATCTAGTTGCGCAAGCACTTGCGTGACAAGTGTCAGACATTCGTCGAAGAGTGCGACCCGCACAGTTTATAGAGTTTGCGAGGGCAAGTTTTCGTCACAACATGACCCGTGCCGTGTGGGGCGGACCCTTAAGAGAGTTTGGCCAAGGTGTCCTTGTGTCGGCTGCGACGCCAGCCTGCCGCAGCGGAAGCGCTGGACATCTTGGCCGCTGGCTGACTCTTGGGGCACTCTTCGAGGGGCCAGGACGAGGGAGAGGAAGGAGGAAGGGGAGAGAAGGGAGGACGGGGGAGGCCGTGCAAGTTGGGAATGGCCTCGCTGGCCTTGTGGGCATTCAACAGGCCGACGTGTTTCACAACCATACTGGATCGCGTAACGCATTTCATACCATCCGGGTCCACAGGATGCAATATAGCCTTTCGTCGAGCATACGAGTCGGCGCGCTTGTTGCCTAAAGTTAGCCTCGTCGCCTACTTGATATCTGGATGGGTAGCCACGTTACGCACGACGTTGAACTGGGCTTGCACGGCATGCGCGACCAAATATCGGAATGGGGGCAGCCCAAAACAGGATGGCATGAATTGATCGACCACGAATCAGTAATCAATGGGTAATCGCCAGTGTAGTCATGACATGAGTGTTGGGTCAGGTGCATATAGAAGAAAGCCAATAGCGGAAAGTGTTCGGACCCAGGTTTTGACTGATGTGGTCAAGGGGAGGCCCCGGAAGCAACTACACGAGGCGTTCTTGAAGGGCGCACGGGGGGGCTGGCAGAAAGCCCGTGGTGGCCAGAACCGTCACCGAACACATGCGAAAACCACAAAGGTTGATCAGAGCCACCCCTGAAGTCCCAGTGGGCCTCCATTCACATGAGGGGTTAGGGGAGTAGACGCTGAATGCTCAAGTGGTTTGGCTGGAAATCTCTGTCGCACTCGCTCCACGTGCGCCGGCAATGGGCGACGATTTTGCCAAAAGACAGGACAATTCATAACAGATGATGGCTGGCCAATGCTTGGGCGCATGTTCACATCGCAAGCGCTCCAGAAACAAGTGAAAGGGTTCGCCCAACACCTCGCAAAGCCACGCATTCTGAGTTCGCTCAAGGCGCTTGACGGAGGGAGGGAGGAGGAGGGGCGGGATGAAGAGGGGCGAGATGATCAGGAGGATGAGGAGGAAAAGGAGGAGGAGGATGGGGAGGGGGAGGAGAGAGAGGAGGAGGAGGAGGAGGAGGAGGAGGAGGAGGAGGAGAAGGAGCAGGAGGAGGAGGAGGAGGAGAAGGAGGATGAGGATGAGGATGATGATGATGAGGAGGAGGAGGAGGAGGTTGAGCAGGATGAGGAGGAGGATGAGGAGGAGAAGGAGAAGGACGAGGAGGGGCGGGATGAGGAGGAAGTTGGGGAGGAAGATGAGAAGAACGGCGAGCGAGCGAACGAACGCCCACCGGTGCGGACAGGCGCCCAGGCCTTCCCAAGATCGCACTAAAAACATGTGGGTGTCCATGTTTTAAACGCATACATGCATGGGTAGCCAGTTTATAAGTGCAGTTAAAGTTTATGTGCATACATATGTATGCACATATCTAGGTATCAAAACATCAGCGCGCGCCCTTGCGAGTTCCTACGGCAACCACACGTGTTTCACACGCTCACCAACTGCAGCCAAACGGGTATCTCGCGCCTGCATGTCGAGATCATTCGAACGCCCCTGCGCTCGTGCTGGGGGTTGGGACGATCCCTGTCAACTAATACCATGTTGGCCACTCGCGCGAGTCGGCCGCGCGCGCGTGCCGAGGGCCGTCCAAAACTGTCATCCCCGACGCGCGGATACCATCATCGTCATCGGCGCGGTCAGCATCGGCGCCGTCGTTGGCCTTGCCGTCGTCAGTGTCATCATCGTCACCAGCATCGTGACTAGATGTTACTATCATTATCGTGTCTGCCGTTGCTATGGTACCGCGCCCGCCCGAGTCAGCGACTCGCACTGAAGTGCCCGCGCGTCAGCGCGGCCTGCAGGACGCGTTGGGAAGGCCCCAGCGGTCAGCGTCACCGCGGCCGCGTCGGTCGCGCCAGACTAGCTGGCCGCTCTGCGCGCGAGCCTGCGCGCGCTAGCGCGGCCGCAGCGATGCGCCAGCCAGCGCCAAGCAGCCATCGCAGTCGCCGTCTGGGTGTTGTAGATTCAGTTGCGGGTGGGTGGGCGGAGTGATGGCGCGAGCAGTGGGGCTGATAATTTCAAGCTCGAAAGGGTGAATTGGACCATATATGTTGCACCACGTTGCTCCCGGCGGCGCTCGCGGGGGCCATCCTTGCACATGGTCGTAGCAGTACGCGGAGCAGAGGTGGACAGGGAGGAGCGGTGGAGGAAATAAAAAAGGAGGAGGGGGAGGAGAAGAAAGAAGAGGAGGAGGAGGGAGGAGAGGAGGCCTAAAGCAGTCGAGAAGTAGTGGCCCCGCCACCGCAGTCGCACAGGCGAGCGCTCTCTCCAATCCTCCCCGCGCCCACCTCATCATACCGCCCTCACCCCATCCACCCACCCACCCACCCATCCACCCACCCACCCACATCCCTGTTCTTTATTATTATATACCCCCACCTACCTCGTATTCTGGCCGATAGCAACCCAATCCTGGACCTCCCATCCGGACTGTAAAAAATCAATACAAAGTGGCCGTTTTTCTTTTCAACATCGTCTTTTTTGTCGTCGACGATGCGAAAACCGTGGCAGGAATGGGACGCGGCGCGAATCGCGCGCGGCAGTCAATCTGAGCCCACCCACCCTGACTGTAAAAAAAATATCCCGGCAAAGCAACCTAACAGCGATGTGTAGAAGCATATCTGAAAGCATTCCCCTTAAGATTCAGATGAAAATCCAGTTGTCGAATTCTGCTGTTCTCGCAGTCGAAGTCGCATTCGCGATGACAGTCGCAGCGGCAACGGCAGTCGCAGTCACAGCCTCAGCCTCAGCCTGCCTCAGCCTCAGCCTCAGCCTGCCTCAGCCTCAGCCTGCCTCAGCCTCAGCCTCAGCCTGCTTCAGCCTCAGCCTCAGTCTGCCTTCAGCCTCGGCCTCAGCCTCAGCCTGCCTCAGCCTCAGCCTGCATCAGCCTCAGCCTCAGCCTCAGCCTGCCTCAGCATCAGCCTGCTTCAGCCTCAGCCTCAGCCTGCCTCAGCCTCAGCCTCAGCTGCTTCAGCCTCAGCCTCAGTCTGCCTTCAGCCTCGGCCTCAGCCTCAGCCTGCCTCAGCCTCAGCCTGCCTCGGCCGCAGCATCAGCCTGCCTCAGCATTCAAAATGTGGCCCAGGAATGGAGTTCTGGGAACTAGAAGAACACGAAGTGGCCTACAGTTGGCTCCGGGCATTCAAAATCATGCCCAGGAATGGAGTTCTGGGAACTTGAAGAGCACGAAGTGGCCTACAGTTGGCTCCGGGCATCCAAAATGTGGCCCGGGAATGGAGTTCTGGGAAATCGAAGAGCACGAAGTGGCCTACAGTTGGCTCCGGGCATCCAAAATGTGGCCCGGGAATGGAGTTGTGGGAAGTCGAAGAGCACGAAGTGGCTTACAGTTGGTTCCGGGCATCAAAAATGTGGCCCGGGAATGGAGTTCTGGGAGCACCAAGAACGTTTTGCAAGGATGTCCCAAGCGAATTCGGCTTCTGCGGCAGCCTCGGCGGCAGCCTGTCCGGGTCCCGCCCAGACCCCCCTGAGGAGTCATGATGCTTTCTTTTGAGACCACTAGAAACCTATCAGCAAGAGCTGTTAGGTAACAATACAGAGTCTTCGTTTTTTTCCTCTCAGCATGGCCTGCCTTGTCGCCGACGGTGCGAAATATGTGGCAGGAATGGGACTCGGCGAACATCGCGCGCGGACGCCCATGCGGGCTGCGGGCCCTCCCATCCTGACTAGTTCTAGTAGTACCATTGGTACGACGACTACTACTACTACTACTACTACTACTACTACTACTACGACTACTACGACGACTACTATTACTACTACTACTACTACTACTACTACTACTACTACTACTACTCCTGCTACTACTG